TATATATATATATATATATATATATATATATATATACATACATACATACATACATACATACATACATACATACATACATACATACATACATACATATGGTATACAAGATTGCACCTTTGATTGTTTCAGTATTAACCCTAAAGTCCGAGCTGCCTTAGGGGAGCATTAGAGCACTAGCATGTAATTGTTCATTTACTTACTTATGTTACTATTTAGCGACTTTTTGTTATGAATGGAACATATAGAAGACAGTAACTTGTAATACCTCCTAACCAGTTGATCTTTCTTATGATTGGGTGGCCTCTCCTCCCTTACAACTTTTGCTGTCACTGATGAAATGTATCAATTAAGATAAATTGAGGTAGCATATGCATGAATTATAACCGGAGTTACATATTTTGAAGAGTATGTGAATGTAGACTAGACTTGGTCTGGTTGCAAAAGTTAAAAATTATTTGATAATAAAACTGGCAGCTCACCCTGGATGCTGTAGTACTCCGATTCTCCAAATATCTTTTGAGAAAACATGAATAAAGTGGTGTTGAAGATAGCAAATAAGAAAAACAGTAGCAACAAAAACAACGAAAGAAATATTGTTTATAAGATTTTAGAATATGAATATTGTCAGCCAATGAATATTTAATAAGTACTTCAGAGTGTGGGATGAGTTGCTAATTTTTTCTATTCAGAGGTTGAACACACTCGTCAAATCTGATTTTGAAATTTCATGAGCGTAAGTAGAGAAGTAAACCATATAAAAGGCTTTAAACCCTAAAGGATATACATCCTATACATATGCACACAGTTTAGGATGCAGGGCAAACTACCAGTGTAGCCTACCCACAGGAAACCAAAATGTTTTTACAGTGTAGAATTGGAGGGTTTTTTTGAGCACCGGGATAGGATCTCTTTTTATCTCATTCCTCTGTTCCTTTCCTCTCTCAGTGACAGAATGTTAGATGTTACTAGAGAGAGATGATACTTGAAAAGGGAGGACATCGCATCTGATAGTGAAAATTACTTTTAAGATATTTTTGCATGATATTCATATTGCCCTTTTTTACATTATTTTGTTTTCCCATGTCTTCTCCCCTTTACTTATTTTGTTACTACTTTTACAGCTTTGCCCCTTGGTGCCCTGCATGCAAAGCCTTGAAGCCCATTTGGCAAGACTTTGCAACCTGGAGTGATGACTTGGGCATCTCCGTGGGGCAGGTGGACGTCACAAACTCCCCAGGATTATCAGGTCGCTTCATGGTCACTGCACTGCCCACAATTTATCAGTGAGTGCTTTCAAAGTGCATTGCATGGATTCTAAACCTGCACTGTTAAAGTGTTTGTCTTTTTGTATATTTTTTATATCTCGATGTTAAGTTTTTAATTTGTTTTTATATTAAATTCTTGTATATAAAGCCTTGCTTCCTACATGTTTTATGATTATTATTTTTAGAGATGAAAACAAATTACTTATCCCGCATTTCTAATTTGGTTGACTAGTTAGGAAGTATTATTATTGTAATTTCTCTCTCTCTCTCCTCTCTCTCTCCTCTCTCTCTCCTCTCTCTCTCTCTCTCTCTCCTCTCTCTCTCTCTCTCTCTCTCTCTCTCTATATATATATATATATATATATATATATATATATATATATATATATATATAAAATCTTCTCTTTGCCTTCATCTCCTCTCTCCTCCCATTCTCTTTTACTCTCTCTCTCTCTCTCTCTCTCTCTCTCTCTCTCTCTCTCTCTCTCTCTCTCTCTCTCTCTCTCTCTCTCTCTCTCTCTTCTCTCTCTCTCTCTCTCTCTCTCTCTCCATCTAATCTCTTTTCCTCTGTAAAAAAAAAATTCTTTCAACCATTAGTCTTTTCATTCCGGGAGATGATTTCCAACCCTCAAACTTCCTTCAGCGTAAAGGATGGAAAGTTCCGACAGTACCGGGGATCTCGAGACAAGGATGAGTTCATGAGTTTTGTGGAGGAGCGTCGATGGCGGGAGGTGGAAGAGGTCCCTGCGTGGAAGTCCCCAGCTTCCTTCCAGATGTCGGTCGTTTCACAGTTTTTCAAGGTATGAGGATGTGAGACCCAGTGATTGTGGAATTTCAAAATGTGGCTGGGGTATTCAGTGTGACAAATGGAACTCGATCTTTGATTATCAATGGTGTAGCTCTTGCAGTTGATAGTATGATGAGAGGATCTGGGGGTAGCATGAGGAAGGTGAAGTAGAAGGAAATAAGATGAAAAGGATATAATGAGGTGTTTGCCTCGTTGTTTCGGCAGAAAATTTAAAAGGTAACCATGACAGTGATAGGGGACCATTTTTCATGATGAGGAAATCAAATGAATGCAAGGATAGACCTTTGAAAATGAGAAATGATTAAAAGATTGAGCAAAATAATGTCAAAGAGTAATCAGAATTTTCATTTTGTTTTAGTGCCCACAAACCACATTGATATTATTATTATTATTAATTATTATTATTACTGTTATTATTTATAATTATTATTATTATTATTATTATTCCCTGGAACAGGACCCTATTGGTCTTGGGTATTTAGACTGTTTTGTTCATTAGTGGGAGATTAAGGAGACCGTCCCAGAAAATAACCACCTTTCCTTACTCATTATATCATAAAAAAATATCGGTTAGAGATAAGTGATTGATTCTTTTTGCATGATATAGAGTATAGAATTGCGCTTCGTTTCATATTTAACTTTAGCCTCACACCCCCATAGGTACCCCCCCAAAAAAGTCGAAATTCATTTTCAATAGGGACGCTATTCTGTAAATATATATGTGTTGTGTGCGTGGTGTGTGTGTGTGTGTGTGTGTGTGTGTGTGTGTGCGCGCGCGCGCGCATAAAAGTATATATTTTTGTCTGAAAAAGTTTAATGAATGCATTTTACCATAGAACAACTAATCTAAACCAGAGAAAAACCTTTATTTTAATATATAATACATATATATATATATATATATATTATATGTGTGTGTTGTGTGTGTGTGTGTTGTGGTGTGGTGTGTGTGTGTGTATATATATTATATATATTATATATTTTTTTTTTTTTTTTTTTTCCAATTTTGAAGAAATGGGAAACTGTGGATGGCAACATTAGTACAAAATCATCCTAATTATAAAGTCCTGGCATGAATACAACATGGTGGTTCAATTTTGAGAAGTTTAAAAGCATATGAATTTAGTACATTGAATTCGAGAACTTACGGAAGTCTTTGAATTTTTCCCGTGCTTCACACAAGGGAGGGAGGGGAAGATGGTCACTGGGAGTTGATAATTTTCGAGGAGGATCATATGTACGTGAACGCACGCACATAAAGTTAAAGAGATTAATTATTCTCATTTATTAAGCCTACATGGACTTTCATATCTAAATAATAAAATATTTTCGTTATCCCTCTCAAACCATTTTCTTTGATAACTGTCAATATTAATAGATTGCAAAGGAGAACAAGTGTAGAGTTGGTGATTAGCCATTTGCACCCATTATCTTTACTAAGAAGTGCATAAAATCATGCAGACGCCTAGGTGTGGTGGGATATTTGCAAATTTATGGTACCTGTGACGTTCAATAACATCTAAACATATTAATTTTTATCAGGAACGCACAAAACAAATGTGATAGCTTTTTGAACTCTAGACGAAGAGTGTGCACACAAACGAGCTCAAGATTTCATATAGTTTTTATTTCAGAGCGGATATTACTGAGTACTATAATCTTCAGTATGAAATAATCTGTACCGCACTTATACATCCGAAGTTCAAAAATCTGACATTTAGGTAACATTCATATTGAATTGGTCTTTACAACGGTAACTACTAGTTTCAAATCAAATCAAATTTACCCATGCTGTGATATACCGACCGTTGAGCGAAATGTATCGGAAATATTTCGATCCTTACTTATTAGGCTATTTTCATGTGTAAAAGGACACAAAACTTGCTTCCCCCCCCCCCCCCCCCCCCCCCCCCACAAAATATTTTGTCATAAATCACGGTGATATAATTTTTTCCTGATATTGGTATAGAAGTGTTCCTTGAACATTCACAAACTCATATACGTGCAATGTCATAATCAAGTGCCGTATGCACGATTGCAGCAAGCAAAGGTCCACATAGGTGTTCAGTGGGTCTGACGTCGGCTGCAAGACAACAAGCTATAGCAGGCGCTTAATACTCGTTTGGTAGTTTCCTCATCCATGTACCTATACTTTACACTAGCTAACTCAATTTGACCGCCTGTCCCCCCTCATCTGGGACGGTCCCCTTAACATATTCATCATAAAATGTTACAAGAGATTTATGCATCTTCAAAAAAGGTTTTATTGATTCATTTCCTGTATTGTATTATAGATGTTTGTTTACAGAGTCAGGACTAACATGTGGCACTCTTCCCCATGTCCATCAATATGTAGCTCAGTATGGGTGAAAATTAATCCCTTCATAATGCAGATGTATTTAACCGATTTTGAGTTGATTATTGTCAGAAGAAAAATTCTGACCCATATAGTCAAAACCAGTCAAATGCATTGCTTGGAAGATATCATTGTCACTCGTACCTTTTTTCTACATTTGTTGTGATGAACACGGTTCAACACAGTATGGGCTTTAAAAAGTCTCAATCCTCAGGTTGTCAGTATACTAATACTCGTGAATGAATGCTTGAGCACAATTTTTGCTGTATAGAAATTACTTTTAAATGGAGGCAAAGACCATCAGCTATTGGAAAATACACATATGAACACACAGAAAGTACACATAAACACAAACACAGATCATTAACATCTTCTGAATTATTTATTATTCAAATACCCTTTTTTTTTCTTTCTTTCTTTCTTTCTCTGATGAAGGTGAAAGTTAGGCAGGTGACCAGTTGGGTGAGTGAGAGGCATGGTAATAGATGTTTAGGAAATATGTGGCACAATAGATCCGTGAATATGGAACACCTGCCGTAGCTCCCTCGGTTATAAATGTGATTATTTTTTA